GGCTCACTGCAACCTCTGCCTCCTGGGTTCAAGCAATTCTGCCTCAGCCTCCCAAGTAGCTGGGATTACAGGCAGCTGCCACCATGCCCAGTGAATTTTTGTGTCTTTAGTAGAGACGGGGTTTCACCATGTTGGTCAGGATGGTTTCAATCTCTTGACCTTGTGATCCGCCCGCCTCAACCTCCGAAGTGCTGGGATTACAGGCGTGAGCCACGGTGCCCGGCCCACATATCTCATTGGTTCTCATGTTGGGAGGGTAGGTGGGAATGTGTACATGGATCATTATTGTCTTTGTTTTCGGGGAGAGGAAACACAGGCCTGGGGACATCTAGGCATACTGTCCGATGGAATGTGAGCCATGTCTTAATTTAAGATTTACTACTAGTCACATAAAAAATAAAAAAGCAGGTGCAATTAATTTTAATATTTTTGAACTTACAGTATAGCCAAAATATTATTTCAACATGTAATCAATTTAAAAAGTTACTGAGACATTTTGCTTTTTTTAAATATTGAGTTTTCAAACTCCAGTGTGCATTTGACACAGCACATCTCAATCCAGACCAGCCACATCTCAAATGCTCAGAAGCCACATGTGGTCAGTTGCTGTCATACTGGATAGCGTGGGTCTAGAGATGTGCCAAAGTCACTGTCAACTAAGCCCAGGCACTGGGGGCATAGAGGCCAGAGGGCCAAAACCCTGCTCTTCCAACATGGTTTCTGCCGTCTCAGCTTCCATGTGGCCTGCTCAGGGAGAAGGGAACCCTGCTGCCCTTCTGCAGCTGGTCCTGTCTAGCCCCACAGGCTGCCTGGTTCCAGGAGGCACATGACCTATATCCTAATAGGGGCTGCCAGGCTCTGCAAAATTCATCTACCTCTGCCAGCCTGCTGCCCAGCTCCCATGGCAAGGCTCCAGATGAGCCATTCTGATCTGACTTCTGCGGCCTCTTACGCATTCAAGTGGCCTTAGGGAGATCCACCAAATCCCAAAATGCAGCAGGGGGTGCCCTCCAGGCCAGAATACGAGTCGTGACCTAAGGCGGCCGGTAGGCCTGGCCCAAGGGGCTGCCCTGAAGCCATCCCTTAGCAAAGAATCCTGCCAGGAGAATCTGACCTGCCTGCCTGGACCCCAACCCCAACCCTGTGTGAGGGGCATACACCTTACTGAGTACCCACTCAGTGCCCTGCATGGGGAGGGCAGAGGGAGCCAGCATGGCCTGCCCAAGGCACACACTATCTGGAAGAAGCAGACGGACACTTACTGTGCAATCATGAGCTCACCACACAGGCTCCAGCAGAGGCTGCAGAAGGTCGTGGGAGCTTCCCAGTCCTCTAGAGGTGGGGAGAGGCCAACATCTCCTATGCCTGGACAAGGCTGGCAGGCCGGTCTCCCTACTTCTCTCCTCACAGTTGGGCCTTCTCCTAGACCCTCTGGTGCCTCTGCAGCCTCAGGGCCGGTCCTGACAGAGCCCGACTGTGCTGGCTGGAGCTGTGTTTACTTACACACTTGCCAGCTCCTTGCTGGGGCCGTTTCTTCAGCCAGAAAGAATTGTTTTTCTTTTTCCAACCGGGAACCTCACTAGGCTCCAGCATGATGGCAGAGTTTGTAACTGAAACCTCAGCAGAATTAAATAGTTCCCGGTCCTGGGCCACCTCATCTGGTATCCAGGGCTCCCCTGCTCCTGAGAGCCTAAGGTGGGGCTCAGCCTGTCCAGGGGAGCTTTGGGCCTGGGCTCTGTGCTTTCTTTTTGAGGGAGCACATCTGAGAGTCAGGATGGGGCTCTCACCTCCACACTGGCATCCTAGTGCAGACAGGGGAAGGCAGGAGGCAGCCCCCTCCGACATTCCTTCAGATCCCCCACTGGTCTCCCTGTGTGGAATCTAGATCACACCAGCGGTGAGCCATACAGGGGCAAGCACCATGCGAGAGCCCTGCTGCAGGCATCAGGGGAGCTGAGGTACTTGAGCCAAGTCATCTTCCTTCCCTGGGCCTCAGTTTCCCCACCTGTGGATAAGAACTTCCCTCCTGGGCTCACGGGGTTATCATGAGGAATGTAGGGAAAACACCCCACGGAGGGAGCTTGTCATTCAGGCAGGGACTCAGGAGAGAGGGTCTTGGAGCTGGCTTCTAGAGGTGGTGGTCTGGGGAAAACACGAGTCTCAGCCTGAGCAGGACAGGGAGGGAGACAGAGCCTGGGACCTGCAGAGGGATAGTCCCCTGGAGGCAGCAGCTGGAGCGGTACCCTGTGGGCCAGGTGAGGCCTTTCAGGCATCAGGTCCATGTGGCATTCACACGGGCCTCTTCCCACTGCAGATGATGATGCAGTATCTGTACTACGGAGGAACAGAATCCATGGAGATCCCCACTGCTGACATCCTGGAGGTGAGACCTGGGAGAGGAGGAGGGGGTCTGGGCCAGGTCTCCCATTCAGCCCCCTCACAGAGGGAAGGTGGCCCTTCCTCTCTGTCTGACAGGAAGTCAGAGAAACGGGGACTGTGCACACGGCCGAGCCCAGTCTCGGTGCATGCCCCAGCAGGGACGGTTAGGCCCAGGGGAATCAGATGGCAGTGGGGCCTGAGGGATGGAGGCAGCAGGGCACAGGGCACTCGGGAGCTTCCCGTTCCATGCTGCCCTGGCCACTGGCCTGGCCATGGGTCCCCAAGGCCTGCTCTGCCTCTCTGCCAGCTACTGTCAGCCGCCAGCCTGTTCCAGCTGGATGCCCTGCAGAGGCACTGCGAGATCCTGTGCTCCCAGACCCTCAGCGTGGAGAGTGCTGTGAACACCTACAAATATGCCAAGGTAAGAGCCGAGGATGCCTGCTGGCCACCTCCCACCACAGTCTGATCCATGGGGCCTTGGCCGTGTGGACGCGCTAGGGATGAGCTAGGAGATGCAGGTGGCCGGACTGCTTCTGAGGACAGTGTAGGGGCTGAAGGAGGGTTAGCAACTCCCTCTGTAGCCTGGGGTCACTGCTGCCCAGTGGCCACATGGTAGCTTGGGAGGTGAGCTTTTGAGCCAGGTGCGTGCTGGTTCAAGGTCCAGCTCTGCCACCTGGACTGTGGGACCTGGGCAAGTTGCTGAGCCTCTGAGTCAAATCAAAGCCACAGGTACTTACTTTTCTCCCTACCTGTCTGTGCCTCCCCAGCTGCCCCATCTCAACAAGCAGCACGGTCATTGCTCAGTTGCTCAGATTCAAACCTTAGGAATCCTGTATGATTTGGATTCCCACATACAGGCATCCACCTCAAACACATCAGCAGCTTCTCCACTTCCCTTCCCCTCCACTGCCCTCGCTTTGCCCCAAGCCACCAGCATCACTCTCTGACAATCGCATCAGTCCAGCCTCCCTCCTGCCTGGCCTTAGCCCTGCAATCCATAAGGTTCTTTCAAAAGTTCAAAAACCATGGCCAGGCACAGTGGCTCACACCTGTAATCCCAGTACTTTGAGAGGCTGAGGCAGGAAGACCAGGAATTTAGACCAGCCTATGAAACATGGCAAGACCCTGTCTCTACAAACTAGCCGAGTGTGGTGGTGTGCACCTGTGGTCTCAGCTGCTCAGGAGGCTGAGGCAGGAGGATCACTTGAGCCCAGGAGGTTAAAACTATAGTGAGCTGTGATCATGCCACTGCACTCTAGCCTGGGCAACAGGGCAAGACCTTGTCTCAACTCGGCCCCCACCCAAAAAAGTACAAAGACTGTGTTACTCCCATACCTAATCTCACCAAAGGTTTTCCACCTGCTGCAGGCTAAATAACAGCCAGCCCTTACCATGTCTTCCAAAGCCCCCAAGGCCCCACCCGCATCTCCCCTCACTCCACCATGCTTCTTTCCTTGCCCCGACCTAGGGCTTTTGTGACAGTTCCCTTTTCCTGTAAAGCTCCTTCCAGCCCTTTATCTTCATCAGCTGGTGTCCCCAGGCCTCCCACAAGCTGTCCTGTCACGCTGGCTTTACCTCCTTCACAGTCTTCAACGCCATCTGCAGTTACCTTGTCTGGTTCCTGAGATTCTCCCCCAAACTAGGACATCAGCAACACTGCAGAGATCTTGACCTCAGAACATAAAACCCAGAGCAGAACTTTAAAACCTTGCTATCTGTTGAGTGAACATCCTTATCCAGCATTTACCACAGGCACGCCCACATGCCGGGCCTCGTGCTGGCCCCTGGACACCCAGCAGTGGACAGTCCCCATTCCCACCCTTAGGAAGGGAACTTCCAACCCAACGAGGATGACTGCCACTTAACAAGGGAGCATGACAGTGTGATGCAGGCAAGGAAGATGATGAGGGCTGTAACAGTGCCTGGTGGCACAGCTGGGATTTGAATCCAATTGGGTCCCACTCTAAGGAGAGGCTTACAGAAGGATTCAGGTATAGCAGAGCTGGCCTCAAGCTGCAGGGACAGGAAACGCCTCCCGTGGCCAGGGTGGTTAAGCAGGGCCGTGGCTACGGGTAGGTAATAAGTGGGGGAGAGGGTGAGTGGGGCTGTACTAAAGCCATGGGCTTCACCCCTCCTCTGTCTGCCCTGCAGATCCACAACGCCCCAGAACTGGCCCTGTTCTGCGAGGGCTTCTTCCTCAAGCACATGAAGGCCCTGCTGGAGCAGGACGCCTTCCGGCAGCTCATCTACGGCCGCAGCAGCAAGGTGCAGGGCCTGGACCCACTGCAGGAGCTGCAGAGCACCCTGGCCGAGCGCGTGCACTCTGTCTACATCACCTCCCGGGTGTGAGGCTGCCCAGGCCAGGGCCCACCAGGTCAGAGAATGGTTGTAGGCCCCCTTGGAGCCAGGTTCACGGGGCTGTTTCCTCCTCCTTCCCCAGATGCTTCCTCTGACGTTGATTTGTCCTTGGGTAGGCAGATGTGCCTGAGCCCCCGCCACCAGGCAGCTTACCCTCAGCTCCTCTGCCCCAGAGCTGTTTGTTCAATCAGTGATGGGCAAAGGGGAGATGTAGCCAGCTGGCGGCCCTTCTCCCCATCCCAGTGTACCTCGAGGGCGGCCATGCATTCCCCTGCGTGCCCCTCTTCTGCAGCTCAGCAGCTGGTCCTGACCCACCTCTGCCTAGGTCCCCCAAGCTCTACCCACCCCTAGGGCCTCAGTAAACTCAGACCATCCCAACTGGGGTACCTAGGGGTGCGGCAATCCTTATGAATGTATGGAATGTATGCTGCCTAGGCCCCCGGCTGTCTATAGTAATTCAAAAGCTGGTATTTTTCTTCCTAAATGTCACATAAGAAAAGCTGCCCAAATCCCTAACTAACTTATTCCTCAAAAGTTTGAAAGGCTTGATGTGGGCCTCCAGTGGCCTGAGGATCCCCCTGCCACCACCACTGCTGCCAACCAGAGTCCCCCCAGCCCCATTGTCTTTGGTGCCTGGGCTTCCAGAGTCCCTCCCATCAGGACTGTCATCACCTTGCTCAGTTGGTGGCAGAGGGCAGTTCCCCAGCTGATGGTTTCTAAGTCTGGTGTGGAGGGGCACGGGGTAGGGGATGGGGTACCGTGTAGGAGCCTGGTGGCCTCAGCTCTTGTTTTGCTGCTGCTTTGAGGGGCCAAAGTAAATGGGTGGATTCTGGACCCTCAGGCCTATAGACTAGGTTGCCTTTGTGGGGTCAAGCGGCAGAGCTCCCTGGTCAGGTCTCTCAAGCGAAAGCTTCCCTTAATGTAGGATTGAGAGCTGGGCAAGCACTTCTCACTGGGGACTGTGGCTCTTGGAGATAAAGGACAGGGCACTGGTAGGGGACAAGGGCTGGGAGAAGAGGCCCTTCTGCTGGGTCCCCTCCCGGCACTGCCCTCAAATTCTACAGTCCCTGGGCTCCCCTGACACCTGTCATATTTATGGACCAGACACTGGGGCAGCATCAGGCACAGCCTGTCTGGGTGCAGCTTCTGCAGCTGTCTGGCCGCACCTTAGAAACTATTTATTCACCAAAAGCCCTGGACATTTCAGGAGGTGTTGCTCAGGCCACCCTGAAAAGCCCCCAGGGGCTTGCAATCCTGGAAAATATTTTGACTAGCTGCTTGGCTGGATGTACAAAGAAATAGTCACTATTTTATTGCTGTAATATTGTATGATACTTTAACTGTACAATAATGTTGTCACTTACTGTAAATGTACCATGGTTTTATTAACAATAAACACTCATTAACAATGACCTTGGCCTCACTGGTCCTTGTAGAGGGTTGCTCAGAGTTCAGAACTGGGGAGGAGCCCCTTAGAACCAGGAAGGGATCCCAGAGCTGACTCTGACTCAGGTCTCCCGCCTCTCAGAGCCAAGACCCTACCAACGCTGTTGCTGTGCCCGCCACACTCGCCTCTCTCCAGAAACTCAGCCTGGATCTGCTCCTCACCCACCCTCGCTCACATTTAAGCACATATGTGCCACGGAGCTGGACAGGAGTCAAATGACAGAGGACTATGACAGCACCAGGCTTTCCTGATCTCTACTCCCACACCCCTCTGTGGCCCTTTATGTGGGAGCTATTTTGGGGGCTGTCTGTCTTCAGAGGTGTTTGCAAACCCTGGCACATCCCCAAATGGCATAGCCCACCAAAGTGGCGGCGGGGCCTCCTCCACCCAGGCCCGACCCGGCCTGATATGAGGCACCTATCCCTGGGTGACTGCTGCTTCCAGGTCCTGCTGGGCGAAGCTGGCTGTGCCACCACAAGGACACTAGCAGAGGTAATGGAGGGAGATGGTGAGGCGCCACCTGAGGCCCAAGCGTGTTCTGGGACTATGGCTGTAGTTTTAGATGCAAAGTTCAGGCACTAATACTAGTTTGTAAAACATTCCCTGCCAATTAGCTGGGCCTGGTGGTGCATACCTGTATTCCCAGCTGCTCTGGGGGCTGAGGTGGGAGGATCAGAGAGCCCAGGAGTTCGAGGCTACGGTGGGCTACGATCACCCCTGCACCTCCACCTGGGCAACACAGCAAGACTCTCTCAAGAGTTGACCACCTGCCTGCCTGAGGCAGGTACAGAAATTCCTAAGGTCACTGGCAACCTGAACCAAAGTGGCTGTGGGTCAGTGACTGGCCATGACTCAGGAGTTGGGGGGAATGACATAAAGATCCCAGTACCTGGGAAGGCCCAATTCCAGCAGGGGCCACGCAGGGCAGCTTAGGCCCAGCCTGGGGCCCAGTGGCCACATGGACCCATGGTGCCCTCTGGGGGCCACAGGCAGGTAGCGCACTCCCCGCATCTTGTGCAGTGGCCTGCGAAGGTGGTGGAGAGGACCGTCCCTCCCCAGCACTTGCCATACAAAGTGGCTACCCTTCACGGGTCTGTGTCAAGCAGCCCAAGTTCCCCCACCCCTGCAGGACACGGCTCGGTCAGTACCCAGCCTAGAAGGCAAGATCCAGTTGGCTTCTAGATCCAGATGTGGGATCAGCCGTTTCCTCTTTTGAGAGGGTGAGTTGCGGGTTTAGAGAAAGTGGAGGGAGGAGGGAGGAAGGGGCCCCTTTGAGCCTGCAAGCAGCAGGAATACATTTTTGAATAAACATTTAAAATTAAATTATTAGAAAAAAAAATCAGACATTCTTCCAAGGGGCTAGGACTCAAACGGAAATGATCACTTACCCCAGGTAGGTGGACCTCCTCCTAACTCAGGGCCACTGCTCAGTCTGCCCTACTCCGCCAGCGAAGAGCAGCCACAGGGGGGCCGGGGGGAGTTTCGTACGGGAGCCCTTGAGTACACAGGTGCTGAGAGCATGGGTTGCGTCCACAGGGATTCCACTCCGCTCCAGCGGGTCCACAGGCAATTATAAGCTGGTGCCTTAGCCGTCTCCGAAGAAAAGCCTCTCCGGAGGTGGCAGATAGCAGGAAGCCTCCAGCCTCTCCCTTTCAGGCTGCCTTTCATGTCCCCTTTGAGGATCCAGATGATGTTTAACTCGAACCAATTGTTTGTGGAATCAAGGGCAGCCCCTTTTCCCCATAGTCTGAAATTGCCTATTGGGGCCCAAGGGGCTTCCAACCCTACCCCCACCCCCTAGGCCTGCAGAATGGCTGCCGGTGCTCTAACCGCCTCAGATAATGAGTCTACATTTTTCCAAGGTGACGGTCACTTTTTCTGCCCTCCCCCGCCTCCCAGCCTCAGCAGCCCCCTTTGTGTCCCGCCTCCTGGTCACTCCAGAGTCCTCGGGGACTGCTGGGCCAGATGAGCAGTGGAAGCACTGAAGCAGGCCGGCATCAGCCCCGCCTGGCAAGGGGTACGGGGGACCACCATTTAGTAACCTTCTTTGTTCAGGCTTCTTCAGCCTCTTCCCCTTCTGGTGACAGCATTCATAGCTGGCCTATCTGAATTCATTTTGCAAGTGACATTTCCTAAGACAGCCAAGCTTTACAGATGTCACTCTGTCTGGGGGCCAGATGGTGAGGTCTCGGGGAGGCATGCCTTTTCAGGTTTGAAGGAGAACCAAGATCATGACCACAACATGCAAAGGCCCAAGCGTGTGTTTAGGAATACACGCTTTACAAACAAAGAGGCCCTGTCCAAGGATACAGAGATATTACACAGAGCCAGACAAGTCTGACTACAAAATGCATGCTCTTTGCTGCCCAAGTGAGACTCTTTTTCTAGCTTAGATTGTGGTTTTAGACACAGCCGGTCCTGGCCAAGCGTGGTGGCTCATGCCTCTAATCACAATACTCTGGGAGGCCCAGGTGAGTCACTTGGGACCAGAGTTCCAGACCAACCTGGGCAACAGAGTGACTCCACTTCTACATTAATTTTAAAAAATAGGCAGGTGTGGCGGTGAGCACCTACAGTCCCAGCTACTTGGAAGGCTGAGCTGGGAGAAAGGCTTGAGCCCAAGAGTTCGAGGCTGCAATGAGCTGTGATTGAGCCACTGCACTCCAGCCTGGGCAACAGAGCAAGACCCTGTCTCATTTAAAAAAAATACCACAGCCAGTCCTTCCTGAGGATTCTTGGAGCTGGCCTGTAACTGAACTCGAGCAGCTCCTCTAGTTAGATCTGATGAGTGCCCAGAACCCTGAGAGATTTAGTGGGCACTTGCTATGTGCCAGGCATTGTTCTAAGTGCTTCCCACTCTACCCCACCCACGTCTCACCACAGCCCTGGGAGGGGGGTGCTATTCCTACTGCTCCCACTTTGCAGAAGTGGACCTGAAGAGCAGGTAGCATGCAGTAACCTGCCCAAGGCCACAGTGAGGGTCGGGGCAGAGCAGCCTGGCTCCAGAGCCCTCTCACCTTGCACCCTAAAGCAGAGCCAGCTGGAAGACTTACCTGCAGGATGATATGCCTGGACAACTTTCACAATCCCATCCAGCTCTGACCATTTGAGAATGTGACTCTGCTTTTGACCACGTTCTAAGAAAACCCTCTTTGAAAGGCAGGCTCAGGCACCCACCTGAGAAAATAAATAAAAATTATTTTCATGCCCTCTCCCCCGCCTCCAGCAAAATTTCCTACAGACCTAACAGAGGTCTGCGGCCAGGGAACTACAGTTCCAAGAAACGAAAGGCCCCTCAGCTCATGTCCCAACAGCCTCAGTGACAAGGCTTGGCAGCTCTAGGGTCACACACAGAACCTGCTCTTCTCGCTCTGGGGACAAGTCCCAGAAGCTACATGTGAAGTACCCTTAGGTTCAGAAGTTACCGTTTCCTTCCCTGTCCTTCCATCAGACTTCTCTGAACCCAGACAACATACTGGGGCTGCAGGCTCATTAGCCTGGATACCACTAAAAAAACATAACAAAGTACATGTAAAGCCAGCAGGTAATCTCTGTCCCCAACAAATGGAAGGGACCAAGTGACCTGGCAGGAGCTGGGAAGGAAACAAGGCAGTTCCAGTTGGCTTCCAGCCACCACACCAGGCCCCTGGAGTTTACCATACACGCCTGCCCCTTCTCCCACAGACTCCTGGGCTGGGAAGCCCTAGACACACTGCTTACCTTTGGCCTTGACACCAACACCTTCCATATTTTACCAGGCAGCCAAGAACCAGGAGAAACTTCCACATATGTGGATTTCAGAACACTCACAGGCAGCTGGTCTTTCTAGGATGTTATTTATTAAAAATAGATTAGCCCTCCCCTCACCCCCGCTAGCAAAATGGCCTTTCCCAACATCTTTTCCCAAATGGATGAGATGACAGGTCTTGAGGACACAGATGTGGCATCCTACCTAAACTACAGCCTCAGGCTTTTCTGGGACAGTGGGGCAGCAGCTCTGCTGGAGCCAAGAATGGAAGGGCGCAAGACGACAGCAGCAAATCCTTGCACACCTAACCATGGGCTGCCATGGACGCCGGGTCGGACTGGAGTTCCTTCTGCTCCCGGCCTCAGGGTGTTTGCACAAGTCCGCAAAGAGAGACCCAGTGGCCCAGCAGCAGCCCCCTGGGCACCACCAGACAGCAATATACTTAAGGGCCTCAGGGGAATGAGAGGCAACGTAGCTTCCACCTGTGTGGGAAGGAGCCTAAAAAGCTGGCCCTAAGCAAAGTATGAACTTATGGGAAAGGAGGGCCCTGGACTGGGTACGGGGAGGGGGCGAGAGAGACTCCTGGCAATGCCAGAGGTGGCAGTACCCAGCCATCAAGTTCTAAGCAGACCCACTTGGGAGTGAATCTGCCTTCAGCCAGGTTGAGTGCACAGTCTGACACAGGCCCAAGGCTGAATTCAGCGCCAGCTTCAGGCCAGGTTGCTGCCCAGTCCAGCCAGGGAGGGTTCAGGAAGTGAGACTGTCTTCCCATGGCCAAGCACTGATGCCCAAGTTTCTCTTCACTTTTTCCGCTTCAGTTTCATATCTTTTTGGTTCTTTGTATCTCTGTCTTTCTTCAACTTCTTGCTCTGTTTGGGTTCTTGTTTGGCTTCTAACTTCCTTTTCTTGTCACTAGAGAAAAATCAAAAATAGCAAGAATGAAACATGTACAGATCTGAACATCTGAGACGGCTTTAAGCGCTGCTTTGCTTGTGAAAAAGCGTTCCCACCGTCTGGAATTTGATGTAGGACACCCAATCAGACATCAGTGTTCTCTGCACACCTCTTGGGGGCAGGCATTATGCTGGGGCTGGAGACACACCACACAGCCCAGTTCCTGCCCTGAGGCAGCTCTCAGTCTGTGGAAGAACAAATCTCGATCTTAACACCTCAAGTCAATACCTCAAGAACCTCAAGGTCCTCTGAGTGCGGTATGC